CCTCTGCCTCTGTCTCTCTCTCTGTCTCTCATGAATAAATAAATAAAATCTTAAAAAAAAAAAATACTACAAATTTAAGAAGACTGAAAGCATAGGAGTTCTATTCTCCAACTACAATGGTACAAAACTAAAGATCAACAATAAAAGCTGGAAAATCGGGCGCCTGGGTGGCTCAGTTGGTTAAGCGACTGCCTTCAGCTCAGGTCATGATCCTGGAGTCCCAGGATCGAGTCCCACGTCGGGCTCCCTGCTCAGCAGGGAGTCTGCTTCGCCCTCTGACCCTCTTCCCTCTCTTGCTATCTGTCTCTCATTCTCTCTCTCTCAAATAAATAAATAAAATCTTAAAAAAAAAAAGTCTGGAAAATCTACAATGTAAATATTAAATAGTTACTCTGTAAATATTAAACAACACCCTACTGCACAAGCAATGGGCCAAATAAGAAATCAAACGGCAAGGGCGCCTGGGTGGCTCAGTCATTAAACGTCTGCCTTCGGCTCAGGTCATAATCCCAGAGTCCTGGGATTGAGCCCTGCATGGGGCTCCCTACTCTGCGGGAAGCCTGCTTCTCCCTCTCCCACTCCCCGTGCTTGTGTTGCCTCTCTTGCTGTGTCTCTCTCTCTGTCAAATAAAATCTTAAGGAAAAAAAAAAAAAAGAAATCGAATGGCAAATCAAAATATGCCTCAAAAGAAAGAAGAAACCGCAATATTTTTTTTTTTTTAAGATTTTATTTATTTGAGAGAGAGAGCACGAACACAAGCCAGGGGGGAGGCAGAGGGAGAGGGAGAAGCAGGCTCCCCACTGAGCAGGGAGCCCGACGTGGGGCTCAATCCCAGGAGCCCGGGATCATGACCCAAGCCGAAGGTGGCCGCTCAACCAACTGAGCCACCCACGTGCCCCCCGCAATACTCTTTTGATCCAAATCTCAAAGAGGTAAGACCAGCAGATAGGCAAGGGGAGGAGCCTTTGCAATCTTTGCCTAAATCACCAGCCAACTACTTGCTTGTAGACTGTCTGTCTGGCTCACATGCTCTCCTCCGCCCTGCAGAGGACTGGAAGTCTCTGAACCGCCATCCCGGGGTCCCCGTTCCAGCTGGCTCTCTGTCAGCTATTGCCAGTGGGGGACGCTGCTGGCAGACTGGAAGGCAGGGGGTAGGTTTTCAAATGTGTTCTATTTTCAAATGTGTTCTTTCTGCTGCCAGCAGCACGTGTAGGGGTGGAAACCTGGCTTCATGGCCCCAGGGAGGGTCCCAAGAGCGGGGAGGGAGCCCCAGCAGCTTGGGGAGCATGGTGCTGGTGGGGCCGGTGGTCTCAGCAGCTGTGGTGGGAACACGAGCTCCTGCAGGGTGTTTGGGCCATGGGGGTTCCCATAGCAGCCCCAGCGGTCGTGTTTGGGGTTCTGGGTAACATTATTTTACCCCCCCGCAACACACACACTTTTCCCCTTACTACCCCAGGGATGGTAGCATCTGATTGGAGTTACTAATTTGGGGTAAACTCCCCCCTCCTTTTTATTAAAAAGACTTTTTAAGAACACTTTTAGGTTCACAGCAAACGTGAGCAGAAAGTACAGAGCTATCCCAGATGCTCCCTGATCTCTCTCTCTCACACCCACACACATCACCATCCCTCACCAGAAGGTACATTTGTTACGACTGATGACCTACACGGACACATCATTATCATCTAAAGTCCCTAGTTCACATTAGGGTTCACGTGTGGTGTGGTACATTCCATGAGTTTCACAAATGTATGATAATGTGTATCCACTATTATAGATAGTATCGTACAGAATAGTTTCACTGCCCTAAAAATCCTCTGTGCTCTGCCTCTTCATCCCACCCCCCCCAACCAATCCCTGGCAACCACGGATCTTTTTACTGCCTCCATGGTTTTTCCTTGTCTACAGTGTCATATAGTTAGAATCATACAGGATGTAGACTTCTCATATTGACTTCTTTCACATCGTAATATGCATTTAAGGTTGATGGCTCAGTTATTTTTAGCACTGCATAATATTCCCTTGTCTGGATGGGCCACGGTTTATTTACCCATTCACGTACTAAAGGACATCTTTGTTATTTCTAAGTTTTGGCAATTGTGAATAAAGCTGCTAGAAGCATCCTTGTGCAGGTTTTTGCATGGACGTAAGTTTTCAACTCCTTTAGGTAAATACCAAGCAGTGGGACTGCTGGATCTTAAGATGAAAGTATGTTTAGTTTTGTAAGAAACTGCCAAAGTGTCCTCCAAAGTGGCTGTGCCATTTTGGATTCCCAGCAACAACGAGTGAGACTTCCTGTTTCTTCATATCCTTGCAAGTTTCGGTGTTGTCGGTATTCCTTGTGTTGGCCATTCTCATAAGCGTGTACTGGTATCTCATCTCATGGTTCTCATTTGCATTTCCCTGGTGACCTGTGATCTTGAGCATCTTTCCATGTGCTTGTTTGCCATTGGCGTATCTTCCTTGGTGAGCTATCTGTTCATACCTTTCACCAATTTTTTGTTTTGTCTTGTTTTTGTTTTTTTGTCCAGCTTTATTAAAATATAATTGAGATATGACACTGTGCAAGTTCAAGATTTATAACATGCTGATTTGATACATTTATATGTTGTAAAATAATTATCACCACCGTGTTAGCTAACACCTCCATTATGTCACATAATTACCATTTATTTTTTGTAGTGAGAACATTGAAAACCTATTCTCCTAGCAACTTTCAAGTACATAATACGGTATTATTAACTATAATTACCATGCTGTGCATTAGATACTCAGAAGTTATTTATCTTATAACTGGACGTTTGTACGCTTTGACCAACATCTCTCCATTTCCCCGCTCCCCAAGCCCTTGATAACCACCATTCTACTCTTAGGACTTTTTTTGGAAATGCATGGTTTTCCTGAGTAATTAAGTTTCATTGATCATTAATACCTTGGAATTCACTCATTTACTCATTAATTCATGTATTCTTTTGAAGTGGGATTGAAGGGGGGCACTGCCTGGGTGGCTCAGTCAGTTAAGTGTCTGCCTTCAGCTCAGGTCATGATCTTGGGATCCTGGGATCGCGTCAGGCTCTCTGTCTAGCGGGGAGTCTGCTTCTCCCTCTCCCTCTGCTCCTCCCCCTGCCTTGTGGTCTCTCTCTCTCTCTTTCTCTCAAATGAATAAATAAAATCTTAAAAAAAAAAAAAAAGAAATGGGATTGAAGTTGTGTCCCTCCTTCCCAGGGAGGGGAGTGATAGTTTTATTGGCGTAAACCTTTTTTTCTTGTTTTAGAGATGTTTAGAGGTTGAACTGGTACGTTATGAAATGTACTAGCCAAGTAGAATTTTCTGAGTAAGTAGACCACAGTTCTCGAGGTTGGGTCATAGTCACTAGTACAGACCATTTGTTATGGAGCAGCAGAGTCCCAGAAAGCCTGGTGCCCTACCCACCTCCGTGGAAGCCTGCAAAGTCATGTTTGCATAGAGGTCTGACTCCACTGACCTGCTCTGCCTTAACTTTTCCTGTTTTCAATCTGTCCTTTTGTTGCTATCTTCAGAGAACCCCTCTTAGTTCTCAGCTTGGGGGCAGAAAAACCCATAAAGAGATCACGTTCACACACAATGAGTTTCTATCCAAACTCACCTTCTCTCTGACTGTCAGAGCCCCTGACGTTGGCACTTTTAGCTAATGTTCAGTCGGTGTACATTTTCTCCAGTCCCCGAGCGCTTCCAGCTAATGCATTCATTCCTTGGCACTGAGAAGCTCAGGTGAAAGAACAGTGCCTTTTGTTTTTACAAGAGGGAGACAGGATTCGCGTCTTTCAATCACGCAGCATTTTCAATTAAGCTGAGCTGAGTTCAGCAAACACTGTTCCACCTGGCATCTTTATTTTGTGTCACCAAACAACGTACTAATTATGCTTTTCCATTGAAAATGTAATCGTTTGCTGGTGATTCTAAACTCTATGTCTAGATTATTTCATACTGCATCTCTTTTAAAGGCAACAAATTCTGCCTTTCAGTCACCATTCTGCATTCAGCTTCTATTCTGCCCTTGCCCTATGGCAGCAACCACCCGATGTCTCTCACGCCCCCCTCGGGCTTCCCGTAAATACCTGTTGCACGGCCAGCCAGTCCTCGCCTTTGGAATACTGCCCGGTGGATACGGCTCTCTTACTCCCATGCCCTTGTCCCGAGCACCAAGTCCCAGGACATCCAGGCCATTCATTGTGTGTTGTTTTTCTGCTTCTCCAACCCCATCTTCTTCCACTTCCCCGTGTCCACTTACAGTATTTGGAAAGCATGTTCTTTTCTCTTTCTTGACTACCATCTCTTCTTCCTTTCAGATTATGCTTGAACTTTGTTTCTGCTACAAACAGTTAGATGACAGTTTCCCCTCCTCCCCCCCCAATAAGAGTCCCAGGTCTAAGGGCGCCCAGGTGGCTAAGTTGGTTAAGCGACCGACTCTTGATTTTGGGATTTTGACTCAGGTCTTGACTCAGAGTTGTGAGATTGAGCCCTGCATTGGATTCTGCGGTGGGCATGGAGCCTGCTTACAATTCTCTCTCTCCCTCTCCCTCTGCCCTTCCCCCATTGGTGTATGCTATCTCTCTCTCAAGAAAAAAAAGAAAAAAAAAAAAGGCCCAGATCTTTCTCTTGGCGTTTCTAATACTCTGCATATTCATTAGGTGTAATACCTGGCACACTGTCATAAACTTCATTTGGGTGTCCATGTGCCTACTGACCGAGAGCACCCTGAGAACAGAAAACCTGTATCTGATGCACTAATGCATTCCTAAAGACGAGCAGAGTCTCTGGTGTATAGGAGAAGAACTGGATGGCTGAGCTTGCAAAGCCTTCCATTTTTTTATACAAATCATCTTGAATTTATTGAAAGACCAGATTCCAGGCTCTTGCAGGAATATAAATATGTGGGAGACACACTTTCTGCTCCCAGGCACCCTAGGATGTAGGAGAAGGGGTACCCTACATCGCTACCACACAAATTCCTTCATTAGGACACTGCACGGGAGAAGGAGCCAGAGAGGAGGGGCAACTGCTCTAAGATGGCTGGAGCTACTAGTCAACGAGGCCAAGAGCGTCATGTGACCCAGCAACGGATAGTTGTTTTTCCAGAAAGACAACATGTCTTGGGTTCCTCTCGCATCCCACTGCAGGTGAGGCAGTGCTGAACTTTTCATTGAAAAATGATGATACAGCCCTTGCATAATTGGTTGTTCTAGCTGCAGATCCCCAAACGGCAAATTGCTCTGAGCTGAAAGGTTCTAGAAAATGAAATTTCTTGGGAAATTCACTGGAGATTCTCCATGAAAATTAACATGTCCAATTCTCTTCAGGTAGCAAACGTTAGGTATCTTATTATCCCTCCTCGGTAATTGCAGCCTTTGGGCTTTTTTGAGCTGAAATTACATAAAGGTAGAATGGAATCTTAGAATTGTATTACTGGGAGGAAATTAGAAAAGACTCCACGAATGTTTCATTGGCTGCTTTTAAATGTAAAAAGGTAGTGGATATGCGTATCTGCTACTCAACTCAAATCTCAAACTGTATGCATTCGTTTTCTATTGCTGCCATAACAGATCACTATACACTTACTAGCTTAAAACAACCCACCTATGAACTCACAGTTTTGTGGGTCAAAAGACTAGGATGGTTTTGCTGGTCCTCTGCTTAGAGTCTCAAGAGGCCAAAATCAAGGTGTTGGCAAGGCTGAGCTTTTCCAGAGCTCTGGGGAAGAACCTGCTTCTGGGATCATGCAGGTTGTGAGTTGAAAGGAGTTTTTGCAATTGTAGGACTGGGGTTCCTCTTCTCCTGTTCCTGGAGGTCACTTGCTTTTCTTCCCATGCTTTCCAGGTGGTCCCCCTTCAACAATGGGGGTCAAGTGCCCTCTCACGCTTTGAGTCTCCCCAACTTCTGCCACATCTCTCTGAGCGCGACCTGAGAAAATTCTCTGCTTTTAAGGTCTTGTGTGATTAGGTAGGTCCACCTGGATAATCCAGGATCCTTTCCGTCTTCAAGTCAGTAACCTTAATCACTTCTGAAAGTTTCTTTTGCCATGGAACACAACATAGTCACAGATTCCGGTTGTTAGATTGGGGACATCTTTGGGGAGCCATTATTTTACCTAAGACACTATATACATGTAGTTTGCCATAGTGTTAACATGTGGAGTTTACTCAATTTTTTTTATTTCTGTATGGAGGCCAATTAGACAGGTGTTAAAATAGAATGAAGACCGGGGCACCTGGGTGGCTCAGTAGTTAAGCATCTGCCTCCAGCTCAGGTCATTATCCCAGAGTCCTGAGATCGAGCCCCACATCGGGCTCCCTGCTCCGCGGGAAGCCTGCTTCTCCCTTTCCCACTCCCCCTGCTTGTGTTCCCTCTCTCGCTGTGTCCCTCTCTGTCAAATAAATAAATAAATAAATAAATAAATAAATAAATAAATAAATAAATAAATAAATAAATAGAATGAAGACCACCTGAAAATCCCTGAAGCAGACGAAAACAGTGAAGCCATGTAAGGGAAATGTACTTAATCTAGCTTATTTCATGAACATAAGCAAAATTTAACTTGGGTCAAGTCTTATAAATGCCTCTGATACTTGGAAATAAAACATAAGTTGTCTTCCTAAAATGGTCTAATATAATTACTTTTAGCCAATCCCCTGCAATTTGGAAACACCCATCATAATAGCCGATCAGGTAAAGTTTAAACAACTTTATCCTGCTCACTTTATAATCCATCCTGTAACAATGTGCCTCTGAGCCACTTGCCATCTTTGGGTTGAAATCTCCTTGTTTGCAAATGTTTTGTTTTCCATGTGATAAAATGTTCATAACAAGTAAATGTCTGAATTGTCTTTTGATGCAGTTCTATGAATGAATGTAGTAGATTCAAGCACATAATAGATGTTCGATAAATGTGATTCTGAAAGATACTGATGTGTTTGTTCGTATAACTCCACAGCTAGCCAATAAAGCTAGTTGAACCCATGTACAGACACCAAAACAGACATAATGATTATCTCCATACTCACTATCCATACTCACTCAATATTCCTTGGTGCTTCCCAAGGAATATTGCCATAAAGATTCCAGGTCAAAGGATGAAAGTTCTATTTTCTGATGCTAAGACAGAAGGCAAAGGAAGCCACATCACAAAACAGGGATATTATTGTCTCTTGAGTCCTAGATCCTCAACACTTCCTTCATCTCTGGATGACTCAGTCCACTTCCAATATCTATAAATATAGATCATGTGTGGGAACACTGCAGCCCATTGATTTTCACCTTGTCTTTCTGTGATGGCCACAAACTGTCTCCAATGAACCTAAATACTTAGAGAAAAGACTGTAATTACAAAATCAGTTTAACGGTGGTCAGTAAAGAGTAACTCACAGGACAATACCTGAGACATAATAAAAGTTGAGTAAATGAAGTTCAAGGAGAATGTATCAAACACCCAAACGGGGTTAGATTTCTTCTTTTTCTCCCATTTACTTCTCATGAAACTATCTAATCTGAAGATGCTACCAGCAATTTTGAAAAAAAAATACTGTTTTTAAAGTATTTTGCAAATATTTATTATCAGGTGATTTTTCTTTACCTTCAATGATATATGTTTTTAAGCACTCTGATTTCTAAATTCATTGCAGGGCTTCTAGTGAGCAAACACTATCCAGCAAGTCGGAAACAATATGATGAAACATCACCATTGATATTACTGGAGTTGACTGCTAGAAATTAAGTTTTTCACAAAATGACTACAAAGTTTGCAGTGGGTGAGTTCTCTGTGCTTGGTACCCCACATAACAATAACCAAATGTGATTGGCTTTTGTATCTCTCAACAATAATTGACTTGGTTCCATTTTCCTTCGATTATTACAAATGCAAGATTTCAAGTCCCACAACTTGCTAAAAAGCATCCCTATTTGCCTGTGCTTCTTTCTCTCCCTGAACCAAGAACAGAGCTGCCACCCACATGTATGGTAGTGACTAGCTCACACTTATTTAGAGGCTGGGTGGGAGGAAGCATGGAAGGAAAGTGGGTCATCCCTTCTCCGCTGTTATATACAAAACCAAAAACCAGTTTCAAAGGCCACTATTTAAAATAAATGGAAAAAAAATTGAAGGCTTCCCCCCCATAGTTCAGAAATATAATAAAAAGTTATACATACCCAGATTTGTCTGGTTTTACCCAAACAACACAAAGTAATCAACACAAATCCCACATTTCTAGTCTCCCAGTTGGACTGGCTCCGGAATTGGGTGAATCACGCTGCATGAAGAACAAGCCCACTCCATTCATACAAACAAATTGTTTTTGTTTCTCCTTCATCACTTGTCGGAACAATAGAGTCAGACGAGCTGGCTGACTGTTCAACTTTCTTTAATTCACTCTGAATTTTTTAAACTGATTCCTTGATAGATGATTCTTGGTAGGATTTTGAAAGATTGGGTTGGAAGGATGGACTAAACCCCTATCCTTAGCTATTTATTTAATTCTATGCTATGGGAGATACCGATTCATTATGAGAGTTTACAGCATAAGCAGGATCTCTATTCTGCATATCAGGACTAATTGAGATATTCCTTCTGTAACATTTATAAGTGCCAGATCTTGCTGTAGTAGGTGTATTGAGAACCGTTTGTATATAGCCCTTTATAATTCATAAAGCACTTCCGCATTTTTGTATTACCACAAAACACCATGAAATGTATGTTTCATTATACCAACTTTACAGATGAGAAAATCGGGGCCCAGAAGTTTTAGATGACTTGGCTTTTGCCAGGCAAGAACCAAACCAAGCTTCGTTCGATACAAAGGTAGAATTCTCAATCACTGTGCTGTCCCACCTTGCAAAGGGACTTTTCTCTTCTTTCCCCCCTACCTTCCCACTTACTCTCTTCCCTACCACTTTTCCTCAGAGGAGGAAGCATCCCTTTTCTTTGCAAAATGACCAGTGACCTCCAACTTTCTCCATGTGCATGCTCTGGTCCCTTTCTCACGGTCTTTGCCTTCAACTACCAGTTTTCAAACCCAGGCTTTAACAATGGGCCTAACACGTGCCTGTCTCTGTGCTCAGGAATGAGGGAACAGAGAAGATGTGACCCATGACCCACTTTGGAGCTTTACAGACCTCCTGGGGAAAGTGGCTATACACACTCACTCGGCCTGCACTTACCGAATGTCTGATGTATACCAGGTGTTATCCCGGGCCCCGAATACTCCACGGGGAACACAGTAGACACAGGCCTTGAACTCAGGGAGCTGACAGCTATCAATAAAACAGAGCTGACAACAGATGCTTCATGAAGTTAATGTGAAGATTGAGTGAGACATCGTATTACACAGTGGTGCTCAGTAACAGCCCAACCCACCCCTGTACTGTTTGTTGCTAATGGGCTGTGAACTCCAGAGCTGGTGAGGTGCAGCCCAATTGAAATATACCAATTTCGGGTCAGACAACATATTTAGGTATTTCCTTCTGAGAAGCAGAATTAAACCATAGAATACATTACTAGTGTTGCTAATATTTTAAAGTGCCCGTGATAGGGGCTCCTGGGTGGTACAGTTGGTTGAATATCCAACTCTTGGTTTTGGCTCAGGTCACGATCTCAGGGTCCTGGGATTGAGCCCTGCATCGGGCTCCATGCTCAGTGGGGAGTCTGCTTGAGGTTCTTTCTCCCTCTCGTTCTGCCCCTCCCATTTGTGCTGTCCCTCTCTCTCTCTCTAAAATAAATAAATAAATCTTTTTAAAAAAATCAAGTGCTAGCGATAGAAATTAAAATACTACTAGTTTTTGAGTATCTACTTTGTGCCTATTGGACTAGATGATTTATCATGCATTTTCCCACAGAACAATCTTGTGAGGGAAGTATGTTTATCTCGCTGCTATAGAAGGAGAGACTGAGGGTCAGGAGATTAAGTAAATGGTTCAAGGACACACAATTTCATCGGTTCCAGTTGTGAAATATGCACCCACTCACACTGATTCTCAGCATGGTTTTCTCCCAGGTGGACTCAGAGATGCCCTCAAACTCATAAAGACTTCAAGTGGAATTTTAATGCACAGTGAGATAAAGGGGGTGGGAGGAAAGAAGCCAACAATCCCTCAGAAAGTTCAGGAAAGAGTAGAACCTACAGATGAATCACTGTTAGGATTTTCCCCCTTCTTTACAGGAAACTCAATTTGTCAGACAAGAAGAGGTAGAGAAGCATTTAGCTGTCTCCCTGCAGCCCAACCAGGTCTGAGGAAATTGCTTCTAGAAGTGCAAATTTGGCTTAAAAGCCTGTGGGCTGACAAAAAGCTATTTAGACTCCACTAGAAAGCTCTGTTGCCTATTATGTTTGTGTGAAGGTAAAACTAAGAGGAGATACTTGGGATTTAAACATATTGACCCTTTCACAGCCCTGAGTATGCACGAGGTAGCTGAAAGACTTGAGAAAATCTCAGGTTTGGTTCCCTGCTCCTGCAAGGTAAGGCTCCAGGGTCCGCCGGGGGAGCCCTGGCAAAGGTCATGGAGCAACTGCACCAAGAAAATTTTGTATGAGTCCCCAGCACGGCAGTGCTAGTTTGTGGTAACCAGACCTGAGTTCAACCTTCTCTCTACCAATTAACCAGTGGAATGATCTGGTGCAAAAATCACTTCCTGAAGCCTAGAGTTTCTTCTCCATTAAAGGAGCTCTGCAGGGCTTGCCTGGTAATATTGTTGTTAGAACTGAAAAGTGGTATCAATGGGCTCCTCACAAGAGCACAGTACATGGTCATTAGTATTGTTACTATGACTATTATTACTATCATCATCACCATCATTTTTTGGTATTCTCTTCGCCTGAAATGACTTGGCCACTGAATAACCTTTTAGACAGCTTTCCAAAATAGCATCTGTTAGGGACTGAATGCCCCCCTCCATTCATATATTGTAGCCCCAATCCCAAGGTGACAGCATTTGGAGAGAGGGTCTTTATGGAGGTAATTAAAGTCACAAGTTACATGAGGTGATACAGGTGGGCGCTGATCCAATAGGATTAATGTCCTTCTAAGAAGAGAATCAGAGAGCTGGCTCGTACTCTCTCTATCCACCATCTGAAGACACAGCAAGAAGGCAGCCATCTGCAAGCCAGGAAGAGGGTTCTCACCAGGAACCAAATCAGTTGGCATCTTGATCTTGGACTTCCAGCTTCCAGAACTAGGAGAAATAAATTTCTGTTGTTTAAGTCCCCTGGCCCGTGGTGGTTTGTTGTGGGAGCCCTGGCTGACTGATACACCATCTCCTACAACCTCAGAAGAGATGTGTCTATGCAATGGTACTTCTCTGCTTCTGAACTCCGTAGTGTGTTTCGCCTCCTTCTGTGACGGCCGACGGTTTCTGACCTATATCACAGGCATTTGAATGCACGTCCTCTGTCCTAACAGAAGGTGAACTCACCTCAGGATGGCCAGCCTGCAGCACAGAGATGGACATTCCTAGCAGATGCTTAGCAACTATTGAATACATCAGTGGGTTCACTGAGATATGTTGCTCACAATGGTTAATATTTGCTTGCTTTAGGTAGATAGCACTTTACTTGTGCTGTCCTCTGTAGTTGTACTTAATGTGACATGTTGGGTCCGTATTACATATACAAATATCTGTCTCCATCCATAGGCGTTAAGTGTAGTAACCTATCTGTTGTACCCTGAGAAGCATCTGGAACTCTGTTTAGGTTAATATGACCGTGGAAAGAACATCATAATAATTTGGTAGGTTTGGCTGGAGGCTGGAGACATTTTATTTGCTGGAATTTCAAGGTTGGTGGGAGAGGCACAAGAACCTGGCAAAGAAGCAGACACTTCCTGGGGAGCTAGACAGAGCCAGAAAGTCAAATGCTAAAAACACTGGTGTTGGAAAGGTGTCTGGCAGCCGGGGTGGTGCCTATAAGGGATGGTAAAAAACCATACAGGAGTGATGAGACTTTCAAATTTTCAGAAACATTTACTAGATCCGTAACACTGGATCTTTAACTCAAGTGATTTTTATTGTTTTTTTGTTTGTTTGTTTGTTTGTTTTTTTAATGAGAATGAGTAAAGGGGTCAAATTTTGGACTCGGTCTGGGGCATTCAGAACCAAGAGAGTAGGCACAATACCACAGGAGAAATAGAGGTAAACAGTAGGAAGAAAAGCCAGAATTCTCAGAATTATCCACAGGAGTCTGTACTCATTCAAGCCATGAAATTGGGTGTTTGAACCAAGCTTACCTGAACCCCCAGTGATCCCAGATGACATCTGGCTGCACATTCAAGGAGCTTAGTAAAGAGTTCTGGATGAAAAAAAAAAAAAAAAGAGTTCTGGGTGCCTGCTCTGAGCAAGGCCCTTGGCTGAGCACTGACAATTCAAAGATAAGACATGGTCCCCACCCGGACCGTGAAGATGCTGCACACACAGATAAGGCAGACGGTGTAATTGCTTAGAGATCCACATTCTTCTGAAAGCGAAATAGCCATCTGCATTTAGAAGCACAGGGTGGGATGGAAAATGGATCAGAGATGGAGAAGAGTGCAGAGGAAGAGGTCGGCACTATTTTCACAGCCTTCACAAAAACCTGGGTATGTGCTAAGATCCATGTCCTTAGGTCTATTATAAAGATAAGCAAACAAAAACCCAGTACATGGAATTGATTTAGCCAAGGCCACACCCTGATGGTAGAAATATAGGGACTACACCACGTCTCCCACTGCTGGGCAAGAGGGTCTGGGGAAGAGGGTGCAGACACCGGGATGCCAATACCAGGGTCACCAAGAAGGCACCCCTTTGCAAAACCCGAGATCATATGAAAATGAAGAATGAGGAAGGGACTTCACAGAACCCTCTTAGAGGTCTGAGGGGGTCCATTCATCATGCATATTTGGAATGACACATGCTCAACCACAGACACGTTCATTAGTATGTAAAGGTACTCCCATTATCATGCCATGGTTAATGCAACTTAGCTTTGCCTTTTTTTCTGTAGCTTTCCCCCTTTGTACCTTCCACCTCACCTGATCTCTTCCATATTTTCCTGCATTTTCATATGCTTTCATTCACCCCCTTCATTCATTCACTCACTCTACAGATATTTATTAGGCAGCAATTATGTGCCAAGTATCATACCAGTTGCTGAGGATGAAACGAATGAATAACAACAAACAAACAAACACAAAGATTCCTCATTTCATACAACTTACATGTTCTAATGGGAGGAGATCAACAAAAAGCACTGAAGTAACAACCAGTCAAAAGATAAATTTTGTGGGGAAAAGTAAAGCAGGAGAGGGGGTAAAAACTATCAGGGACAGTGAGTGAGAGTGGAGATGCCTGGCGCGCAGTAGGATGATCTGTGAACAGATACACACACACATATATCAAACTTCCGGCATTGTTTTGTAAAAATGAGGTAATACTATATGCACATGTTCTACTGCTTTCTTTTTCCAATCAATAATGCCTTATAGAAACCCTTGCCAAGTCAATCTGGTTAGCTCTGATGCATTTCTTTGAGTGGCTGTATAGTGTTCTAAAATGTGAGTATACCAGACGTTATTTAGCTTTTCGGTACTGATGGGCATCCTTGAATTATTTTATTTAATTCTTATAATGGTCCAAGGTGATGCCGGAGAAATCAGTGGAGCTTGGAGCCAATGTTCACATTTTCTTATAATACAAATGAGTGCTATTAAACACAGCCGTGCTATAGACAAGGCTTGCAGTGGGGGGAAAGGGACTCTGCTTTTGGTTTCCCTTAATGTGGTCTCACCTCTTCCTTATCACCCCATAAACTTGAGGCTGGCTTTGACTTTGTTCTTGTGGGGAGCTCCTGGGTAGACTAGAAGCTGTAAAAATCTAGAATCAAGTAACAACATCAGAAAAGATCTTAGAAGTTAGCTGGTCTGATTGCCTCAGGCTCTAAGTGGGCAAACTGGAGACCTACAAATAAGAAAGGACTCCCTGGGATGTCTGGGTGGCTCAGTTCGTTGAATGTCTGACTCTTGATTTCGGCTCAGGTCATGATCTCAGGGTCGTGAGATCAAGCCCCACATCGGGCTCCATGCTCAGGAGGGGGTATGCTTATCCCTGTTCCTCTGTTCCTCCCCACTCCGTGATCTCTTGCTCTCTCTCTCTCTCTCTCTCAAATAAATAAATAAATAAAATCTTAAAAAAAAAAAAAAAGGACTTCCCAAGGTCACACAGGCAGTTTGTGACAAAACCTAAAGGATATACTCATATCTTTTTAATTCCAATTTAGTATAATTTCAAGTCTCTTTTACTCCAATATATAGTGTCTGTTTGTACAGACACTGCAATATGAGGGCTCTTCCCAGAGGAAAGAGGAAAGCAGAGGATGGAGGCTTACCTGGGAGATGGACCGGGAATGCATACGTGTGTGTGTGTGTGTGTGTGTGTGTACGTACGTAAGCAGATGCAAAGCACAGATGGAGGAAACGCAATCTGGTATCATCTGGGAAGACAGAGGGATACAGTAACAATAACTAACTTTGTCTATTCCTGTTCCTTTCAAGCAAAATTTCTAAATAATACCAAGAGGCATAAGCATCCCTGATGAATCTCTGGAATAAGACTTTAGATGTCAGCACAAGACCAGGCACACTTGTGTGCGCTCTTAACCAAATCCCAGACCCACAAATAAAAAAGAAAGAGAAAGGGAACAATTTCCCTTTCTTGTCAATAAAACCGTACTTTATACCTTGGCTCTTGGAGGGTTAGCATAGATAAGGAATTGTAAGAAAATGTAGAGTGGGAGGCAACAGATCTATATTTCAGAGTAAATCTAGCCCACTTCCTGAAGGAAATAAGTTCTTAGTTTTCCGAGATGGGAGACACCCATTGTTGGGAAGCAAAAGTGAACATTTTTCTCCTCTTTCAAATGGCCTGTCACTTGTCATTCAACAGTAAACATTCCCAAGGAGATTTTTCACCCCAGAGATAAAAATCTGTGTTCTCTCCACATGAAAAACCTTGCATTTTTTTCATGATCTGTGTCCCTTGCAAAGTATCACTGCTAATAAGAGCACTGTTAAGTTCTGCCTTATAAGTTTTATATCACTGAAACTGTCCAGTCAAATTGAGTCTGGGGAAAGTTATTTTTAGCAAGCTTGTACTGAATTACGACTCGCATATTTTTGAAGCATTCCTTTTGGTCCCCATCTCCACTGCAGGCTGAAAAAACTATTAGTAGGAAAAAAAGAGACAAAACAAAAACAAAAGCAGAAGACAAGCAACGACACCTTCGATGGGTATTTTATTTGCATTTACTCATTGACCTCCTATGTGCCAGCTAGGTTAAGTTTTATCCAAACAACAATCTCTCAAAGAAGATCTTATTCTGGTTTTGGAGATGAAGCATGAGTACCAAAAGAATGAACTTGTCACAATAGAATCCTCCGGAACTGGAAAGAAAAGCTGTGTGTGCACAAGGCTCGGGAGTTCCCCACCGAACCACACTGCTGGTGGAAA